GACTGTGTTCCAGAGGGTCCTCCAGAACATCCTGAGTCTGGACATCTATACCTAGACACACAATGTACATCATAATAGCTACAGGCTTTCCATTTCTCATTTGAATAAGCTTCTTAGAGATGCAGTGTTGAAGAAGAAATATACTGACGCTTGCTAAAACAGTAACAGTAAACTTAAGACTGTTGCATGAGGGGAGAGAACTAGGGCTCAGCTTTGACACCTGGGGATTTGTAGCCTGCCAGCAGAGGGAGGGGGTCCATGAGAACCAAGGGGATGAAGCCTTTGATCAGATCTTGAGGGTGACCATCTTATCAAGGGTAGGGGTTTTCTCCAGACAAACTCAGCAGGACTCGTGCTGAAACTGGATTCAGCCAGAATGTACATGGAAGCTCAAGGTTGAGGCCTAGTTGAGAGGAGGGCCCAGAGGACCCTGATTGAAATCTGGTCCAGGAGAGCGTCTTGTCAGTAGTTTAATGAGCCCTGGGTGGTGGTCCTCTGAGGCATGGAGACCAACCCAGGTGGCAGCCACTCTTAGCTTACTCATTCACCGGGTCTCTGCATTCATAAATACTCAGGAAACACTCTGAGCTAACATGTTCCCATGTGCTGGTGTGGGGTAAGCATTCATTTCTTGGGAGTTTTTAGTCCCTTGTCTTGCCTTGCTGTGTGAAGGGGTCCCGTACGGTTCTGTTTGTAGGGGAGTTAGTGGGGAGGCAGGGAAGAAGAGCAGGCCTCAGATGCTCCACCATCAAGCCACAGGAGGCCCTCCCTAAGGGCCCAGGCCCAGCCAGCATGTTACCAGTGGAAGAAACATTATTTAATAAGACTTGTAAATGAAGCCAGGGAAAAGGACTGCATGTTTTTATGTTGTCACTGTCACATGGGCCATTGTTCAACAGAGTCACCCACGGCTGTTCTGTCTTCCAACCAAATGTAGCTCTCTGACTTTGCTGGTTACTCTTGATTAGAGCCCAGACCCTGATGTTACATGCTAATTTGTAGATTTTTTTGTCTTGTAGAGATGCAAATTATTTCTGTCTGATAAAAATAAACCCAAAGGTTTTGATTTCATTCCTTTGTAGGACTTCAACCTGATTCGTCTCCAACTGAAAATAGCTTATTTCAGTCAACTACAGCTTTTCCAAGCCCTCGGAACTACCTCCCCATCTCGGTGGCTCCCTCGTTAATTTATGTGTGCATGGGTTGTGTTTTAGCTTTTGAAAATTACACTTTAACACTGTCGTATGCTGGGTGTGCTTTAGGGTGGTCACTGCTGTTGCTACCGATTGTCTTGCAAACACTGCCCTCTGCACCCCCCCTTCCATCTGTGGGCTGTCCATGAGTCCATTTGTCCCTGTGTCCAGAGGTACTCTGGCTCCTTCTGTCCATGGCAGACAGGTTGATCTGTCTGCTGAGGCACAGCACTCTTCCTCTCTCTAAGTGTTCGTCAGTTGAAAGGTTGTGAATAAGGGAGCTTTTGGACTTCTCTTTCCCCCTTTTCTGGTAACCCAGGATCTTGGGATTGGTCCAGCTGTATAGAAGGGAGCTTTTCCTAGGAGTGCGGCCCCTTCCAGCTGTGTGCTTGTGTGCCTGCTGGCTCCTCCTCCATAGACTTTCCTGCACTGAATGCTTTGTTTCCCAAACCAGTCTGTCAGCTACTTGATTCCTACTCTTTCTTTGCCTGCGGTTGGAGTCTGTAAACTTGTTGATTCCTGATTTCTCTTTATACACCTGCCCTTCAGTGCCTTCACTTATTCATTCATTCACAAGTACTTACTGGGCCCCTGCCATGCTGGACACAGTGCTGGGTATTGGGGCTATGGCAGAGTGATGTCATTCGCCCTGAGGAGGCCCACATTAATGGAAGTGATTCCCAGATTTCATTTTGGGCAGTAAGACTCCTCCCTAATGAGACATCTGTTTTCTTTCTAAACAACAATTATCTAACTAATGAAAATTGTGTGTATATGTACATGTGTACATACGTATTTGCCATGATCTTTAAAACTACCTTTAAAGAATGAAAAACCTCAGTGGGGTTGACTCTTCAGCAATGTGGAAGTTAGGGGCACCGACCCCTTCACACAGCAAAAAATCCACAAATAACTTGTGACCCCTCAAAACTTAACAACTAATAGCCTGCTGTTGATGAGAAGCCTTGTTGATAACAGTCGATTGACACAGTTTGTGTGTTACATGTATTATATACTGTATTCCTACAATAAAATTGGCCAGAGAAAAGAAAATGTTATTAAAATCACAAGAAGGAGATAATGCATTTACAGTACTGTACTATATTTATTGAAAAAAATCCACGTGTAAGTGGACCCATGCAGTTCAAACCCATGTTGTTCAAGGGTTAACTGTATATGCTCTTAGCAATATTAAAAAAACCTTAAAATTGTTCAGGAAAGGTAAAACCCACAGAACTTACTTTTCTAGGCATTTCGTTGTACAACACACTGAGTGCATTGAGGGGTGGGTGGCGGGAGCACTGGACGCCTCGAAGTGCCGCAGTACCGGAAGGCATCATCCAGTGTCACAAGTTCCCAGGTCTTCGCTCATCCAAATTTGTTTTTGTAAATGCCATAGAAGAGCACATTGTAACGTAGCATTCCTGAAGTAATTTGTGATTCAAAATGTGAGAAATTGGCAGTGTGAAAGAGGAAAAACCAGTACATGTTTAATTATAATAGTGTGCTTTTCACTGCTGGGTGGGAAAGGAGAAAAACATTTGAATAAAATCAAAGCAGAGGCTGAGCTTGACTTCTCCCAAAATAAAGAGGAGAGTGTTTTGAGCAACTCAGTGTTGTCACTTGCAGTTTTAGTAGAAAAATGCTTGAAACAAAAATCCCTTTTTATTGGTGAGGGAAGGCAGCCAACCCAAATGTGGCAGAGCTGCTGCACAAATGGGAACCCACGTCTGTGTGGGAGCTGGGACTGAAGGCAGGTCCTATTTTGCTTCAGCTTTATCTTCACGTGTGTCTGTAGCCAGCCAGGAACTAGCGAGGAGGTGTCCCACTGGCCACTGGTGGGCTTGGTGGGCGGATATCCCCAGGCGCTGATGGTGAGCTCTGTCAGATGCTTGGCACCCACTGGGGAACCTGGGAAAGCAGTGGAGTCTCATCTCACCATAGAGAAAGAGTCCGAATCAGGAATATTTGCCTTTGGTCTGTTCATCATCAGTACACCCTGCAAGCCTGCTTTTTTCAAAGCCAGGCATAGAATAATGGCCTAGATAGAGTTTGTGAAGTCTAAGCATTGTTTTTTTAATCCACTTCGACCCGCCCTTCTTTGTGCTCTTCCATTCTCTCTCCAAACTTGTGCCAAACTACTATGTTGGAATCTCATGAGGAAAACTGGCTTCAGAAATACAACGTCACCTTAGTAAACGTAGGATCCATACCCGGGGGCCCAAACTGTAGAACTACCTTAGAGTTGAAATAATCATGTTATGAAGTCCAGTTTCTGCTTCAAAAACTCATACCTTGGTAATGTTCCCAAGGTAAATCCTTTGCTAGTGATAGCTCTACAGTGGTTTGGGGTCTATGGATTTGTGTATTGCATTGTATTTAATAACAAGCAAGATTTCTCTAAAGTTCAACATAAATGTGTGAAATTTATGTCCACTCCATGTTTATGTATTTTCAATATTAATGGCTTTTAAGTAGATAACTTCAAATTTTTTTAAGGGGCCAGTGTCCATTAACAGGCAGTAAGTTCTTAAAAGATAGTCCTCTGTAAGGGTACCTTTTCTCAACGTAGTAAATTACTTACAGTTTGTTCATTTGTGAAATGGAGCTTACAGCTTTTTGCCTGTCAGAGTTGTTTTAAAGCCTGGAGATGTTGTGTCTTGAGTGCCCAGTGCTGTCTGGTGAGAAGCGCACGTACCGTGAGGCCAGAGTCCTCATTCACGGATGTGTGTCAGCAGCTGATGGCTGCCTCCCTTAGCCCCAAGCCTGGAGAGGCTTCGTTTGTTCTCCTAGAGCTGTCTGTGTAATAAGGACTTTTTGTTTTTTATCAATGGACATGAAGCCCTGATGAGTCTTAAAACCAAAGTGAAAACCATAGGCCATTAAGATCAAAGACGTCATCATGGAATTTTTTCTGACCAATGACATCTAAAGTACTCTGCTTAGTTTTTTTTTTTTTTCTTTCAGATTTTGAGTTCTAACTCTTTGAACTACCATGTTTCTGCATTTCAGAGTGGGCAGTTTTCCATTCAAAGTCAGTCAGTCACCAACTCAGATGTTACAGAAATTGGGCATTGTGAATCTTTATGTATTTTTCTTTTTGATACCTTTATTCAGGTATACTTGATAGATAGTAAACTGTACTTTTTTACAGTGTATAGTTTGACAAGGGTTAACATGTCTTCACCTGTCCAACCATTACCGCAATTGAAGTAGTGAAGATACCCATCACCCCGAAAGTTTCCATTGTATAAATCCCTCCTGCCTGCCTCACACCAGACCACCGCTGCCTGCTCTCTGGTTCTACCGATCAGCCCCACTCTCAGTGAATTAGAATTTCATACAAATGGGTCCTATTGTGTGTATGCCTGTTTGGTCTACCTTTTTTCACTCAGCAAAATTATTCTGAGAAGCATGGATATTGTATGTACCTATATATGTTTTAGGTTTTCAAAATTAACTTCTGAGTTCCTAGATGGGAAATAATACTTTTTTGAAAACTGTTGTCCTGTTTTTTAATTTGGTTGAGAAATCCCTTGAATAAGAGTCTTCATACGAATCTTAGCAGGTTGCTACACTGTGTGGCCCTCGTGAAGGTGGGCTTGGTGACTCGTGCTTGGGTAAAGTGCCTCTTTGTCTTCAGTGAAAGCTCTTTGGGCTCCTAACCAGTATGTCATGTTCCATATCTTATTAGTGACTAGAGTGTTTTTGCAACTAGAGAGTGAATATTAAATATTGTCTGTGTTTGCTTTAAAAGGTGTATATCCAGTGGTAATGCCATAATTACTAATTTATTTTCCTTTCCAGATCCTTTCCAGGAGTTCAGTTATGGGTGTGAGAGGTTTGCAGGGATTTGTGGGCAGTACCTGCCCACATATATGTACAGTAGTGAATTTCAAAGAACTGGCAGAACGCCACCGAAACAAGCACCCTGGAGGTACCCCTACCATTGTGGTTGACGCCATGTGTTGTCTCAGATACTGGTATACTCCTGAATCTTGGATCTGCGGCGGCCAGTGGCGGGAGTACTTTTCTGCTTTGCGGGATTTTGTTAAGACTTTTACAGCTGTTGGCATCAAGTTGGTGTTCTTCTTTGACGGCACGGTGGAGCAGGGTAAGAGAGATGAATGGGTGAGACGAAGACTCAAGAACAGCAGGGAGATCTCCAGGGTTTTCCATTACATCAAGTCACACAAGGAGCAGCCAGGCAGGAACATGTTCTTCATCCCATCGGGGCTGGCCATCTTCACACGATTCGCCTTGAAGACTCTGGGTCAGGAAACCCTGTGCTCCTTACAGGAGGCCGACTATGAGGTGGCGTCTTACGGCCTCCAGAATAACTGTCTGGGGGTTCTTGGAGAAGACACTGACTACTTAATTTATGATACTTGTCCCTACTTTTCAATTGGCGATCTCTGCCTGGAGAGTCTCAGTACTGTCATGCTCTGTAGAGAGAAGCTCTGTGAGAGTCTGAATATCAGCCTGGCAGACCTTCCTCTTCTGGCCTGCCTGCTTGGCAATGACATAATCCCAGAGGGCATGTTTGAAAGCTTTCGGTACAAATGCTTATCTTCCTATACCTCTGTAAAGGAGAACTTTGACAAAAAGGGTAATATTATCTTAGCTGTAGCAGACCATATATCTAAAGTTCTTCGCTTACATCAGGGTGAGAAAAAGCTAGAAGAGATGTTACCTTTGGGACCAAACAAAGCTCTTTTTTATAAGGGTGTGGCATCATATCTTTTGCCAGGACAGATATCTCCGTGGTTTTTCCAAAAACCCAAAGGTTTAATAACTTTGGACAAGCAGGTGGTATCCATGAATTCAGACCCTGAATCTGAGCAAGAAGTTCCCATGTGTACAGACCCTGAATCCAAGCAAGGAGTTCCCGTGTGTACAGACCCTGAATCCAAGCAAGGAGTTCCTGTGTGTACAGACCCTGAATCCAAGCAAGGAGTTCTCATGTGTACAGACCCTGAATCCAAGCAAGGAGTTCCCGTGTGTATGGATCCTGAATGCAAGCAAGGAGTTCTCGTGTGTACGGACCCTGAATCCAAGCAAGGAGTTCCCGTGTGTACAGACCCTGAATCCAAGCAAGGAGTTCCCATTTGTATAGATCAGGAATCCAAGCAAGGAGTTCCCATGTGTACAGACCCTGAATCCAAGCAAGGAGTTCCCATGTGTACAGACCCTGAATCCAAGCAAGGAGTTCCCATGTGTACAGATCCTGAATCCAAGCAAGGAGTTCCCATGTGTATAGATCCTGAATCCAAGCAAGGAGTTCCCATTTGTATAGACCCTGAAACCAAGCAAGGAGTTCCCATGTGTATAGATCCTGAATCCAAGCAAGGAGTTCACTCTAAATCTAAGCAAGAAGTTCCCATGTGTACACACACTGAAATCAAGCAGAAGTTACGTCTAGGGGCAGATCCTGAATTTGAGCTAGAAGCACCCATGTGTACAGACCCTGCAGTTAAACAACAAGACCTCATGAATATGGAGCCTGAAGTCAAACAAGTAACCATGGTTTCAGACCCCGAAATCTTAAAGGTACGTAGATGTGCCCAGCCAAATCTGGGTGTCATGATTGGGAAAATGTATCAATCAATTATTGACTTCTTGTTGTAGTTCAGGCACTGTGGGGGACACACAACAGGACCCTAGCAGTGTAGTTGAGAAGTATGACATACGCATTGGAAGCTCACATTGAAAGTATGCTCGATATGGGTGCATGCCTGTCGTAAAAGAGAGCTCTTGGAATTTGAAGGAGAGTGATCACTGTGGGTTAAATACAGAGAAACGTTCCTGAAGAGGTAGAAGTAGAGCCAGACCTTCATGGGAGCTGAAATTTATAACAAATAGACAAACATCTGTTGCCTTGGGGCACGAGGTAGAACAGTAGGCTGGAGTACGGGGTCTGAGGGGAGATAACAGGGAGAGAGGTTGGAAAACGTGGAATGTAGCCAGATTGTGAAGATTATTAGATGCCCCACCAGGAGTTGGGACTTAATTCTGAAAGTGACAGAGAGTCCTTGAGGGTTTTTATGGAGGGCTGTTTATGAACCACCTATTATGTGTGAGGTTCTGTGCTAGGTGGGTTACACGTGTTACCTCTTACCCACAGACCTTCTGTTGTTCCTAACAGGGTCCCCATCTTCCATCCAACTACACAAGTTACAAACCTGGGAATTCTCTCTCCTGTTTTTTATAACTATTCTCCCCCCGTCTTGTTACTTGTACCTGTCCAGTTAGTCTCCCACCCTAGTGTAAGGTGCCTCTTTTCTGGGTTACCCAGTAACTCTTAAACAATTCTTCTGTATAGACTTGTGCCCCTTCCAATCCACTTATCATGCTGCATGCAGAAATAAAGCCCTTTATTTGCGTTCATAACTCTTCAAAGAGTAGAAACAGTAACCCTGAGTAGACTACAGCCTGCCAGCACCTCACTACCTCTCTAGCTGGCCAGTCCCTAGTCTATCATGGCCCTCCTGGAAACCTCCCCTGCCCCTTTGCTAGTCTTTTCTGTAAAGCTGGGTGGTCACCCACTCAGAGATGGCCCCTGGCCATCCACTCTGTGGCACCTGCTGTGGTGCACACCTCCCTGGGATTTCGTGCTTGTGACAGTGCTGTGAGGGCAGGATCTTGTTTGTTTTTCTCACTGCTCAGTCCCTTTTGCCTGTCCCACTGTGTCTCACAGTAGCTGCTCACGAAGTCTTGAAGGCAGTATTCCCTTTCTCTTGTATCTTTAGGGCCTCTCCTTTAGTGACATCTTCCCTCCTTCCTGTACAACTACATGGGTGGCCCTGTCTTGAAAAGTTTCTCCCCTCTTTCTCTATTACATACATTGTAGCAGATAAGCTAATTTACTAACATAAAAAATTACAGTCCTAAGTAGGATGTGGTACATACGTTAAGAGAGTTACAGGTGAAAAAATATTAAGGGGTTAAAATTATCCTACCTGGAAGTGTCCTTAAGTGCTTCATAGAATGAAATGAATGTGGGTTAAAAATTGGAGGAAGGGCAGAATCAGAGCTCCAGGTGGAAGTGTGGTCAGACAGTAGGAAAGAAGGACGGGGCAGGGGAGGCCAGGTCTCAGCAGAGGACTAGACATCACCTGAACAGACTCAAAGTCAGGAAAATGAACAGAGAAGAGCTAAATCTAACTTTGCTTAAATTTATTTGGTTTTATTATGAGGTTGGATGTAGGAATGCTAGTTTAATATAGACCATGCAGAGATGATTCTCCACTAGTGACCAGAGGGTATTCTTCACCTTATTTCCCTTAATCATCACACAGTTCTGATCCTAGATGTGCTTGCCTCTGTCACCACATGAGGACATGGGTGTGAAAAGGCTAAATGACATTGTCTGCAATCACACAGCTAGTACTTGGCAGAGCCCGGGTTTGAACCCAGGCCTCTGCAAGTTTGACCCTTTATGAGATGGCATCTGCGTTCCCTGATGGCACGTGGAGGGGTGAGACAGTCATGGTCGGTAGCCTCGAATCATGAGCATGGAGGAATTTATCAGGAAGCCCCCCTGCTCCTAGACTTATGCCTGGCTTCCAAGGTGGCACATGATGTAGACCTTGGAGCCACTCCAGCAGTTTGCCTGAAGGACAGGACAGGGAAAGACACACAGGCGGAGGAAGAGCAGAGCAAAAGGCGAGCATGCAGGGTGCCTCACTGCCTAGAGGAGGGCAGGGCCTGCTTTTCAGCGGGCCCAGGACTCCAGTCGAGCATGAGGCAGCATCACCCACCAGCATGCACAGTACCACTCTGGCCCTCTGGTTCCCAGCTCACACCCATTTCCCATTGGTGTGTGGCCTTGCAGATGTCCTCTCTGGGCTTGGGCTCTTCACAAACCTTGACTTGCATTCGCCACACCAATAGGACCCAATCTTGGCCTTTGCTCTTTTACTGGACACCCTGGTCATCTCACCCAGTTTCCTGCAGAGAGTTCTGACAGATTGGGTGACACCACAAAGGGCAGCGTGTGTATCATGAAAGAATTTAGGACTTAGTTTTTATACACATTGAGAAGGTATTAGATATCTTTAAGTAGGGATGTGATCAGGTATTTGTTTTTTGAAACATTGGTTATACTGCAGAGAATGGACTAATGTGGCTGTCGCAGAAACCAAGGTGGAAGACAAAAGAGCTAGAATTAAGACAATGGCAAAGGGGAGGAAGAAACATTGAAAAGTAAGTCTTGCTGTGGAGGTAGGGGTTCTCCTGTGCTCTGGGATGGGTGTTGCCATGACTTAAGTATGGGCGAGGAAAGGTTTGACACAGAGGATAGCTAGGGAAGACCATCTGATGCTTAGAAAACAGGCCTCAAGTCCATTACTCGGCAGGAGACAGACATCTGGAAGTCATCCGACTGGACGTGGAAATGGAAACCCTCCAAGGAGAAGATTGAGCCTTCTGAAAACAGGCCCTGGGAGAGGGCTGGTCAGACAGGGAGGGGAATGAGGAGCGGTGACCCCAGCAGAAACCCAAGGAGGCAGGTTTCAAGAATGAGAGGAGCAATAGCGAGGACCGTCAGGTGCTGCGGAGTAAAGTAGAGTTGGGGCTAGGTGGCTATTAGGAGGGTTTCATGGCCTGAGAGCCACTGTCGCACAGGGGCCTGGTGGAGGTCAGATGGCCAGGGTTTGAGGAGTACCTTGGAGGCAAAGGCTGGAGCTGGGGAGTGCTTGCTACTTCAGGAAGTCTGGCAGTGGAAGAGCCTTGGATGGGGAAGAGGGGAGGAGAGCGGTGGGAGGCCTGCCTGTAGGGGAAGTTGGGCCATTGTGGAAGGACAGATCACGTGTTGTCCACACTCTGACTCTCCCATTGATTGGACTTCACGATACCTTTGAAAACAGTTGCGTGAAGTGCCTTCGGTTCCCCTTACATTTTCCTTTAAAATTTGTTTGCAGTGGAGTCTTCTATCCCTATCAAATAGGTAACCCCAATTCCAACGTGTGTGTACTTCAACCCCACATAGTCCCCTAGAAACCCTTAGGTAGAAGGCTGTAGTGCACAGCAGTTATCCTGGGCACATACCACAGCCAGATATCTATGTTTTCTCCATAACAGAATATTTTGGAAAATCAGTTAAATTTTAAGCATAAATTATTTGGTTCCATAATGTTGGATAAACTGAATTATTATGTTAGAGTTTTAGATTAGGTGAATATGTTAAGGTTTTTCCAAGTGTAGCGTGCTATATAGATCTATAGTTAAGAGCAGAGGTAAAAGGTGCTTATTAAATGATTCTGATCCAATTAGTGAATTAAAATTCTAATTGTAGAGAACTTACCCGAAAAACCCTGTATACACCCAGAAAACACATCAAATTCTGTACAGTTGCCAAAATTGAAGATTTCTTGGTAGGGCAAATATAATTTATTATAACTTTCTAGATAGATTTGTTAAAATACCATCTCTCTTGAAATGAAAAAGACTCAGGTATGGAAGAGGGAATAGGAGAATAAGTCAGAAGCTATTTTGGCCTCAAAAGGATCATAAAAAACATAACTATGATGTTTCTGATGGATTCAGTATCAAAAGGGGCACATAGAAAAATAGTTCACTTTCCAATGATCTTCCATTAGAGTATCAAATAACAGTCCTTTAAAAAATATTTTTTAACCTTACTGGCCTTAAAGTTGCTAGCTTGTCTGCCATCCTGCTTTCAAGACATTTCAGCAAGGAGATAGACATTTTATAACGTGTAGGCTCGTGACAGTGGCGACACTGGGGACCATGCACTGTGTGCCAGGCCTCATGTGCAGAGCTCTCGTTAACCATTGTGTTGACCCCTTTAATCCTCAGGATAGTTCTGTGAGGTTGGCACTTTTATTAAACCTACTTTATATCTGAAGAAAGGGAGAAATAGAGTAAGACTCAATTCTACAGAAATGAATCAAAATAACTAGAACTACTTAAAAGTATATATAAATAGAACACCGATTTACAGAGTTTTTGACATTCCAGGTTGTCCTAACACCACATTTTTTTTTTACAGATGAGAAAACTGAGGTTTATTTATTTTTTATGTGCATAAGTTATTTTATTTTTTAAGTTTTATTTTATTATGTTATGTTAGTCACCATACATTACATCATTAGTTTTTGATGCAGTGTTCCACGATTCATTGTTTTCGTATAACACCCAGTGCTCCATGCAGAGTGTGCCCTCTTTAATACCCATCACCGGGCTAACCCATCCCCCCACCCCCTCCCCTCCAGAACCCTCAGTTTGTTTCTCAGAGTCCATCGTCTCTCATGGTTCGTTTCCCCCTTCAATTTCTCCCCCCTTCATTTTTCCCTTCCTTCTCCTAATGTCCTCCACGCTGTTACTTATGTTCCACAAATAAGCGAAACCATATGATAATTGACTTTCTCTGCTTGCCTTATTTCACTTAGCATCATCTCCTCCAGTCCCATCCATGTGGATGTAAAAGTTGGGTATTCATCCTTTCTGATGGCTGAGTAATATTCCACTGTATCTATGGGCCACCTCTTCTTTACCCATTCATCTGTTGAAGGGCATCTTGGCTCCTTCCACAGTTTGCCTATTGCGGACACTGCTGCTATGAACATTGGGGTTCAGGTGCCCCTTCTTTTCACTACATCTGTGTCTTTGGGGTAAATACCCAGGAGTGCAATTGCTGGGTCATAGCGTAGTTCTATTTTTAATTTTTTGAGGCACCTCCACACTGTTTTCCAAAGTGGCCATACCAACTTGCATTCCCACCAACAGTAACACCACTTTTTTTTTTTAAAGATTTTATTTATTTATTTGACACAGAGAGAAGGAGATAGAGAGAGCACAAGCGGGGAAGTGGCAGGCAGGGAGAGGGAGAGGGAGAAGCAGGCTCTCTGCTGAGCAAGGAGCCCGATGTGGGACTCGATCCCAGGACCCTGGGATCATGAGCTGAGCCGAAGGCAGCCGCTTAACCGACTGAGCCACCCAGGCGCCCCAGTAACACCACATTTTAAATGCCTTTTGTGGCAGACTGTTTGGATTGAATTTTGAGTAGTAATCTGGGTAAATCACTTCCTACACTAATAAGAATGTTCTTCACAGAAAAAATAAAACCTGTATGTAGGTTATTATAGGCCTCTGATCTTAGCACTTTTTTTTTTTAAAGATTTTATTTATTTATTTGAGAGAGAGAGCATAAAGCAGGCAGAGGGAGAGGGAGAAGCAGACTCCCCGCTGAGCAGGAAGCCCGATGCACAGGGCTTGATCCCAGAACCCCGGAGATCATGACCTGAGCCGAAGGCAGAGGCTTAACTGAGCCCCCCAGGTGCCCCTTAGCTCCTCTTTTTAAGGAGAAAGTGGAATGCAGCCCTGTGCCTCATCACCTACCTTGTGCCAACATTGCTGGTTGCAAGGCAGAAACGGGGTGTGCAGCACATGTGTTTTGCTCAGTAAGGAATTACTGAACAGGTGAATGTGACACAGATTCTGATCCCAGGCAAGTTTAGTTGACTAGGGGAGATCAGACAAGATAACTATAGGGTAAATGTGGGATGAGCCCCATTAGGCGAGGGGAGGTGAGTTCTGGTTGGGAGCAGAAGACAGGGTGGGTGGTGAACCCTAACGAGAGAGGAGCTTATGAAGTGGGAGGGTAGGAAGGCCCTGAGGGGGTACATTTCCTGGATCCCAAGTGAAGGTGGAGAAGGATCGAGTGTTCCTGAGGAGCAGTGAAGGTGTACTATTGTGACTGGTTTCTGTGAGGTGGATGGGTATCATGGGAAGAGCACGTTGGGGCCTTGAGTGTTAGGGTGAAGATTGTGGTAGTCATTCAGATGCTTTGAGGAGGGCAGTGACTGGACCTATTTCTAAGAAGACAGGATGTTGATGCTGTGGAGGGTTAGGGTTGGAGAGGGGAGAAGTGGGTTAGGTTCCGTCAGAGTCTTTCATAGTGATGCTTCTCATCAGGCAGACAAAATTCCGAGATGCCACAGAAGTCAGTGTGGTAAGTCTGGTAGGCGGTTGGCGATTGGAGGTGCAGGAGTAATTGACAGTTTGGAGCCTAGAAATGCCAAGGAGAGGAAACAATGCCAGCCCGATGTCATGAGTTTGAGGGACCATCACTCCATTTCTGAGTGCCTAAAAACACTGGCATGGGATAAAAAGGGTTGGTTTTTTCTTGAAGATTACTGTTTTGTTTTCAAGGAGAAAGCAGTTGTATTTCAATTTTGCACAGGTTGCTCGAGCACAGCACGTCCAGGCAGAGAGCTACCTGGTGTACAACATCATGAGCAGCGGAGAGATTGAGTGCAGTAACACGTTGGAGGACGCCCTCGACCAAGCTCTGCCCAGCCAGGCTTTTGTTTACCGCCCAGTGCGGCAGCGCGTTTACTCCCTCTTACTGGGGGACGGCAGAGGTGAGCTTGTTGGTCTCTCTTAGCAACAGTGCTATTTGGAGTTGGATTCTGAGAAACAGACCAAATGAAGTAGAATGCATTCTTTCAGGACACGGATACAATTAAAAAGGGTTTTGTTTCTCTGTAAAATCTGTAATTGAGAATACCACTCACATCTGTACAAGATTAAGGGTAAACGCCATGGGACATCTCTATCTAATTAGCAAACAGTTGATCAGTATTCATTAAAAGAAGAGTGCATTGTTTTTATAAAATGTTATACTTTTATTCCTTAAAAGGATTTGTGTTTTCTGAAAAATGTGAAAACCCTTTCCTTCTGCAGGAGTGTAGGGTATGTTTATTATTAGAAGACAATGTCTACTTATTCTTCTTCCAAATGTGATTTTCATAAAATAATTCCATAAAATCTAGTACATCATATTTTAAAGTATAAACAAAATTTTCCCTTACAGCGTTTGTATTTAGGTTTTTCCCATCTATATTTTCCTTGTGCAATAACAGCAAGCATGTAGGGAGAGGACTGTCAGTGGCCAGAGCAGGAAAGTTGGGGGGCCTTCATCACCAGTTGGAAAATGAATTAGGCCCTGCTGCTCTCTTTTCAGGGGAGTTGGGGGGCATTGAGGGGAGAGAAGAGCACTTCATAGTAGAGACTAGTGATGCTTCACACATGCAGATACCTCTTAGGTGAGGTCCTGCTCGCCTGCGACTGGCCTCCTGGGACACTGGTCTGACTTGAGAGCAAACAGGGCTGCACACACTATGACTGGGACGGACACAGAAGCAGTAAGATCCCGAAGAAAGGGTGTCTGCGGTCCTTTTGCCTAAACTCCGTTATTTCCGGACGTACCAATATTGGTATTAAGATCACTCTGTTATTCCGGAAAGTAAGCATTTCATAACTTACAGGTGGTGATAGAATCCTCCAATTAAAATGCTGTCATGATTCTTTGCTTTGGCAGGGTGTGGAGTGGCAAGGTTCTTCGAATCCAATTTTTATTGGATTCTCGGCACATACTGCCTTTTCCCACATGTGCTGCCAGAATCCAGAGGCTTATGTGCCCTAAGGAAGACATGAGAAAGATGTTTACACCAATTGAAAAACAGAAACAAAAGAACCTATGGAATAAACTTTGGGACCAGATAGTATTTAAATAATATTTTTCTATTTCTTTTTCTTATGTGGTTCTCTTTCCATATTCTTTCTTAACACAAGTGATTTCACATTGATTCTAATGATTAAAAAAAGACATCTTAATCATGAAAAAAATTTTACATTGTATAGTATTTGCCTGGAATTGTTTTTATTTTTTATTTTTTAAATTTTTTTAAAAGATTTTATTTATTAGAGAGAGAGAGAGAGAGAGCATGAGTGGGGGCGGGGGAGAGGGAGAAGCAGGCTCCCCACTGAGCAAGGAGCCCCATGTGGGATTCGATCCCAGGACCCCGGGATCATGAACTGAGCTAAAGGCAGACGCTTCACCGACTGAGCCACCCAGGCGCCCCTGCCTAAAATTGTTTTTAGAGTAGCTTATTAAATGAAGTCCAAATATATGAACTTTACTAACTTAAATTTCATACTTTGTTAATGCAGATTATTTACAGCCATATTGGTAACTTGATTACTTAACCACAATAACAGGAATAATTACTCAAATTGAACTTGTCTTCACAATTGATCTTTACTCTCTTCTTTTTCAATTTTTTGGCTTTCTCCATGAAGTTTACATTTTTAGGATGTGAACATAAAATGCTGCTATTGCTGGTTTACTTGTGGTGGTAATGAGGCATATTTTGCGTTGCTTGCTTGGCTTAGCTTATGATCCATGTGTCCTTGAAAATGATGTATGTTTACAGTTGCTGTTCTAACGTGGCAGTTGGGTTGACAGGGCTGTTCAAGTCTTCTCCCCATCTCCTTTTGACTTGTAATTAGTTCTGGAGAGAAGAGTGTTGAAGTCTGCAGGTGCTCTTGTGGATGTTTTTATTTATTCCCTCAGTTCTGTTAGTTTGTGCTTCAGATATTTTTGAAGTTCCACTGTTAGGTGCATATACATTGAAAATTGTCCTGTTTCTTAATGAATTGACCCTTTTAACATTATGAAATTTCCCTTTAAAAAAAAAAAATCTGGTGATAGTCCTCGTCTTGAAGTTGGCCTTGTCTGACGCTAACATATGCACTCCAGTTTTCTTAAGATTAGTGTTTGCATTGTGTATCTTTCTTCTGTCCTTTTACTTTTAACTATTTCTTTATACTTAATGTATGTCTCTTTTAAGCAGCATATCCAGTTTGACCATCTTTCTTTTATTTAATTAATTTTTTTTCTCAAGGCCCCAGTGTGGGGCTTGAACTCAGCTACCCTGAGATCAAGAGTCAGACTCTTAACCAGCTGAGCCACCGAGGCGCCCCTGATAATCTTTCTTTTAATTTAGTCTTTAGATTACTTACATTCAATGTAATTATTGACATGATTGGGTTTAAGTCTTTCATTTTGCCCTTTGCTCTGTTTTTTTCCTTTATTTTCTCCTTTTCTGACTTCTTTTGGACTAATTGAATAATTCTTAGTATTTTGTTTTATGTCCTCTTTTGGATTATTAGATTTACCTGTTTTTTTGTTGTTGTTTTTTTTTTTAGTGGTTCCTCGAGGGTTAATAATGTACATCTTTAAGTTACCACAGTTTGCCTTCAAATAGTATTATAACCACGTTGTGTGTGATGCATTGTAGCTGCGAACTTTCATTTTCCCATCATTTTTGCTATTGTTGTGTATTTTTTAAACTTTTAATTTTGAAGTAATTACACACTCATGGGAGTTGCAAAAACAGTCCATAGGCTTTCCTGTACCCTTGCCCCAGGCCCCCGCACAGACGACGTCTTGGGTAATAAAATACAGTGTCAGAGCCATAAGTTAACATTAGTGCAGTTTTATTAACTAGATTACGGCTCTTAATCAGCTTCATCATTTTCTACATTCACTCATTTATTTGTGTGTGTGTGTAGTTTTATGTATTCTATTCGATGTCAAGATACAGAATTGGTCCATCCCCACGAAGGAGCTCTCTCATGCTGCCCCTTTGTGTCCTGCCCTCCGGCCCTGTCCCCTGTTCCCTACTAGTTTGTCCTCGATCTCTGTAACTTGATTTCTGCAAAAATGTTACATACATGTTTGGTCATGTCAAGAATGTTACATACGTGTAATTTTTCGATAGTATGCATATGTTTTAAATCCCATAATATTCTTATTTTTACTTTAAACCAGGGGCTGGCAAACTTTTTCTGTGAAGGGCCAGATGATAATAAATATTTTAGGCTTTGAGGGCCCCTCTTGTCTGTGTAACAAGTACACTCTGCTGTTGCAGTGTAGACACGTCTCTGTCTGTCACAGGAGCGAGGCTGTGTCTCAGTAAAGCTTAATTTCCTTTTCCTATGTCACAATTCCCATGAATTTTATATAATCTTCCTGTGTCACAGAATATTCTTTTGATAATTTTCTAATCATTTAAAATAACGTGAAAAGCATTATAGCTTTCAGACTGTATAGCGCAAGAAAGTCAGACTTGGCCCATTGGATATCATTTTCCAACCATTAATTTAACCAATCAGCTGCCTTTTAGAGGAGTTTACAAATGAGAAGGCTTTGGAGTGCACCATTGCTGGCGCTCTCCATTTCTTTGTGTAGATCCAAATGTCCTTTGGTATCATCTTTCTTCATTTAGAGAACTTGCTTTTACGTTTCTTATGGTGCTCATTTTATTTCCTGATTTTTTTCCCCTGAAAATATCTTTATTTCAGAAGTGTAATTTTGCTGTATATAGAATTTTAGGTATTTTTATTTTTTGTTCAGCACTGTAAAGATGTTGTTATGTTGTCTCTAGCTTGTATTGGCTGTCACGTGGTGACCGTGGTCCTTCTTACTGTTGTTCCCCATCTGTAACAAGTGTTTTTCCCTCCAGCTGTCCATAAGGTTTTTCTCTTGAGCGCTGGTTTTTAGTAATTTGTTTAAGCTGAGCTTTGGAGTGATATACTCAATGTTTATTCTGCTTGGGATTCCTGAGCTTCTTGGACCAGTGAGTTTACATTTCCTATCAAATTTGGGGAAAAAATGAATTTTATTTCATCAAACATTGTCTCCTCTCTCTATTGCTTTCCCCTCTCACTCTGGGCCTCCCAGTTCCATGCTTGATTTATTGCTCATGGTGCCCATTATGCACCCTGGCTTGTTTTAAGCCTCTTTTCTCTGTGCTTCAGTTTGGGTAGTTCCTGTTGCTCTTATTTCAAGTTTATTGAACCTTTCTTCTGCAACATCTAATCTGCTATTAACCCATCCAGTGAAATGTTTGTTTTAGATATTGTGTTTTTCAGCTGTTTTTTTTTTTTTTTAATCTTCCATCCCCTGCCCCCATCTTCACGTTTGCCTTTAAATCCTTAAATTTATGCACAGGACCTGTTTTCAAGTTCTTGTCCACTAATTCCATCAGCTCCATCATTTCTGGGCCTGTGTCTGTTGATTGACTTTTTCTTCTTGTAAGGGGGCCATGTGTTTCTGCTTACTATCCTTATGTATTTCTGCTTATTTCCATGTCCACTGTGTTTTGATTGTAGCCTAGAAGAGTTTGGATCTCTGAAGGGTATTGACTTGTGTTCTATCAGGCACTTAAATTTACCAGATCCTTTCAGGGCTTGCCTTAAGCTTTATTAGACTTGGTCTGAGAGGACTTTCACTCTAGAGCTGGAATGGCCCTGCTCCCGAGGCTTGGCCTTCCTGGGCTGTGCCCTGAGTGCTAGGTGTCTAATGAGGGTCTCTGCACATTGGTTGGTAGGACTCTGATGTTGTGGAGCTCTGTAGGGTCCGCTGGTTGCTCGGCGGGGCTGGTCTGTAGTTGTCCTGTCCAGCCTCCCTGAGTTTTGCCCTGGACATGTTAGAGCTCACTTCTCAACTAGGACCTCAAGGGCACCTCTGTGCAGATTTTGGAAGCTCCTTTCTGCACAGTGCCAGTGCTGGTGC